GGGGGGGATCTGCCCCGCCTGAGATTGGCCACAGGCAGTTCGCCGTTTGCGCCCCCCACCCGCCACCGACTTCTGTGGGCAGTTTGCCGCTCACCACCGCCGCTGCCACCAGCTTCTGCGGGCAGTCGCCACCCTAACCCCCCACTGCCAACACCAGCTTCTGCAAGTGGTCGCTGCTCGCCACCCCGCTGCCAGCGCTGCCGCCCACAAATTGTACCCCCCAGTTTCAGGAGGCACCAGTCACCCATGTTTACACAGATCTGTACATTGGCAAGGCTGTTTACAAGCAAAAGGTTAAGGTAAATGCCCTGCTCCTTTCATCAGTGCCCTTAGAGGGGCATGAGGGACTTTCCTGCCAACCAGTAACTCTCCAAAGCAAATCTATGTCTAGTGGTTCTCAGCTGGGCTGCCACAGCTTGGGATATCCTTTCAGGGTATCACAGCTTGGATACCGTGCTGCTACCACGTATCTCCTGCAAAGCCAGATCAGGAAGTGGCTGTGGCACAGGTGTCCGCTATTGCCCCAGCCATTCTCAGTCCAACCTCACACATTTTCTTCCAGAAACAGGCATGTGAGGCAGGTGGAACTGTCCTGCCTGCCTTTTTCTGGGTGGAGCATTTGGGGTTAGACCACAAAGGGCTGCAGCGAGAGCTGGCACTCATGCCACAGCCTCTTCCACAGGCTCTGCAGGAGGTGTGCCACCTGGCCGTGGTGGCAGTCCCCCAGTCTGAGAGCCACTATCGTAAGGATTCACTGATATGCTGCCAGAGCACTTTGTTTTAGTTACATAAGCATACAAACACCTGGGTCTTTATTATAGCAGCCTTTTTCCCACTTGCACACAGTTTGCTTTTTTAAAGAGTTCACAATCAGAACCTCGTACTTTCTGTTAATCCAAGAGATAAAAATGTTACATAATCTAGGATATATTGGGTCAATTTGAGTGAATATAATTCGTTATTTTACCTTTTTTCCACTCTTGACAATCCTATTCATATCAATGGGAGCCTCTAACAAAGAAAAAAGATTAGAATAGCACTTTATTTTGCTGTCTAGGCTTTGTTCCTATCTCAGTTAACATGGCGTAAACCTGGAATAATTCCATTGCAACAAATTGAGAATTTCTTGCATCAGTGATAGAAAAATCAAATCTCTTGGCAGGGTAGGGGTTGTTTTCTGGTTTTTTATTTTTTTTTTATTTTTTTTTATTTTTTTTTAACATGAATATGGACAGAAGCCAGCAATTGCACTGCTGCTGTCTTATGCTCTTGTGGGAAAAGGGAAATATTAAAAGTCTGGTAAACTCCTTATTGAATAAATAGTTACCTGGTAAACAGAGGCAGTACAACAGTGGGTCTCAACTGTAGTTGCACCAAATTAAGAGATGTTATGGAGGGATGCCATGACTCCAAAAGGTTGAGAACCACTGCTCTAAATAGTGAAGGTGAAGCCTGTTTTCTGGTCTGGACCTGGGGACTACAGTTCCCAGCATGCCGTGTGGCCTGACAGGTTGCCTGCAATTGGCTAGCGTGTCTTCTATTTGGAACTCTGCATGTGGGTGCTGCTCCGCTAGGAGGAAGGCAGGCTTTTGCTGGCTATGAAAAAAGGTAAGTGAGCTGTGCACTTCAGGGAGGGGGGGCAGTTAATATTCAGTTTCCATCTGCCTGGCTTAGTTACTGCTGTATTGCTTCTCGGAGCAGCTCCTGAAAAATGCATGCTTTGTACTGAAGTGTATTAAGGCAACTTACCACAGCCCTGTATGAAGAGCTTCTGCATTGGGGATCATGCATTATTCTTAAAAAGAAGAATAAAAGAGGAAATTACTGCACGTGTAGGAGCAATTAAAAACTAAAGCTGTACATTTCACTCTGTTAAACAGTAGCTAATTAATACCTTTCCATAAAGGAGCTTGCCTTGGTGTTTCAGCAAAAATGAATTCACAAAGTGAAAGTGATCTGATTTTTTTTTTCACTTAAATTTTTGCTTTGGACATATTTGTTCATGACATTCTCCCCATGACATTGCAAAAGGAAGGACATTTGGCTCTATATTGCTTCTCCAGTGTCTCTCTGCTAATACAGGGTTGCTGCACTTCCCGTTGCCATGAATATGTGGAGTATTTCATGTCCATGTTCTACTGCCACTTCCAGGAACATTAAAGGCTTATCAATATAAAACTGATATTTGGGAATTAATAAGCATCTAGTACATGCACCGATTTTTAGAATGTTTAATCTCGGGTAGACGTAAATTTAGGAGTGCTCAGGGCTGATTCCTTGCCACAGGACAGAACTGCTTGGTTTTGCTTTGTTCCAACGTAGCCAGAACAATCTTTTCATTAGAAGCAAAAGCCAAATACTCTTTTAAAACCTTGTATCCCTCATCAGCTTCTACCTCTCCAACTCTTTCTCCAAGCAGTATCTCAGTGATTAACTTTTGGTAACTTAACTGAATTAGCAACCAGTCAGAACAGATTGAAAAATATTAAACATGAAGAATAGAATTGACTTCTGCCAGAATCCAATGGCATCTTGAATTCCTGTCTCTTGCTTTTCAAAGTCTTTTAGGAAGAACACACGTGCAACCTGGACCTTATTTTAAATACTGTAAGGATTAATTGAACACTGATGGAAAGAATGAGAGGGTGTGAGTAAATAGCTGGCTTGTGTGTATCCTCAAATGTCAGATCATTACCAAAGTTAGAAAACAGCTGATGCAGTAAGCTCAAGATGTCCGCATTTAGATCTGGTATACTTCTTGAGAAACAAAAATAATTGCCTTGTGCAACTAAACATAACAAACATGCATGCCACGTTTGCCAGGGCATCATGGGAAGTGTGAAATAAAGGTGGTATTTTACTGTGTAATACCACCCCATAAGTATTCGCTACTGCGTTTAATTTACTTGTATGTATTTCTTTAAAATTAATTCTAAAGCACCACAAAATTGCCCTGCCATCACTTGTGATATCTCACAAAATTGAACCATTTGTGTGATGTGTGTAGATTTTGTTTACAAATCTGCCCTTGCATAATATAGGCAAAGTGAAATTGCTGCTGGATTTTAAGCCTCGCCTGCAATTCTTTGCATAAAGTTGACAGATACCATATTTCCAAGTGACTAATGCTCAGGAGAGTGTTAGAGACCAGTAAGAATCCTGGGGATTGGAGCCCTCCAGTCAAGGATATTTATGGCCCAGGCAATAGCAGTGCAAACTTGTGTTTTACTATCTAGTCAGGGTACATACGTCTGACTTAAAAGGGGGTAGGTCCTAGGAGCAAGAGGGGTATTCAGATTCTGTGGTAGTCTTGACCTCATTGATGGAACAGCCAATAGGGCTGTCGGTGACAGTCAATACTAGGGATTTCATGAAGTCATGACCTCTCCCCAAGAAATCCCACTGAAACCTCCCATCGTTTCACATAAGTCCTCGTGCAGGCATTAGATAGTAATGTCCTTCCATCCGGACTAACCTGGGCTAGAGTTGAATTGTATAGACATAGTTTTGAGAAGTTTGGATTAGAAAGAAATTCTATACCAATAAATGCCCAGATGTGCCCCAACCCAAACTATAGCCGCATGCTTAAAGTTGGTTGTGTTAAAAGAAGTGTGAAGAAATCCTGCAATGCACTAGTGTAGAAAAACAGTATATCCCCCCACACACATGCACACTTTTCCAGCATTGTCAGTCATTTAACATAACAGCAATCATTTCTTGCACAGCTGAAAGAATCTAAAACAGAGGCAGCTAGTTTAGATTTGCAGTGGCAAATATTATAATTGCTAACAGAGCCACATAAGCAAAATCTGGCTCACTATCACTCTTGTCCTGCTTGAAAAGTTTAGGGAAAG